GGTTTAGGGTTGAAGGTTTAGGGTCAGGGTTCAGGGTTTAGGGTTTCCCGTTTAGGGGGTTAGGGTTTTGGGTTGGACTTTGGCATGTTGCTGTGCATGACCCGAGCGCCACTGCAGGACCAGATCTTTGAAAGGTTCCCAAGTCCTCAACTGCAGACCCCGAAGTCCACGGTCCAAGCATGCAGGATCTGCAGTGCGGAGAGCGTGTTCTGCTGGCCCTGTCAAGCGCCAGCCTCGGCTGCGGCTTATTACAGAAGCCTGTTCCATTGAGTTCCTTTGCCGGTGGCGGGCGTTGTGTAAGAGGTTCGTTGTGGTTCAGGGTCGAGGGTATATGCCCTAGCAGGTGCCGTGTCGTCCCTCCACCATATCTGCTAGGTCAGTCGGCTTCCCCAGCAGAAAAAACCTCCGTCAAAACTCTGAGGGTTGAGGGGCTCAGGGGCTTAGGGCCTGCATGCTCATCCCTAGGCCCCCAAGGCTTGCAGCTTTTGGATGGAGGGTTTGCGGTTTAGGGTTTAGAGGTTTAGGGTTTAGGGGGCCCAGGGCCGAGAAAGATCAGAGTTCCAAGGTCCGTGTCCAGATCCTCCAAACGGGTGCAGGGTCTTCCTTGAGGAACTCAGGAGGAAAAAGGGGTCCGGAGACTCTAGCCGCCGTTGCTTCAGAGCTCCGTGCCACGAAGCCCCCGCCATACTGTTGATAATATGAATCCTGCATTACCTTAAGGACCCTAAACTATGGGAATTATGGTGTATTCCTCATTATGGGGTAATGCAGGATTTATATCATCAACCGTAGTTAGAGACGGTGCAGCCCCAAGCTTCAAATGGCAAACCCCCAAACCCCAAGCCCTAAATGGTTGGTTTTCTAAATTAGGGTCCCGTTCAGGGTCCTTTTATAAGGGTGCCGTAGTATATTGGGGACCTAAAAGAGGGACCCTAATTTAGAAAACTACCCCCCAAACCCTAAGGCCTAAGCCCTAAACCCTAAACCCTAATTGCTAAACCCTAAACCCTAAACCCTCAACCCTAAGCTCCAAATGCCCTAAATGCCCAACCCCCCAAACCCGAAGCCCGGAAGCCCAGTGTCTCGATCTTCAGCCTTTTTTGCATCGGTCTTTCTTGGAGAGGCCCCGACGCCCCGAGTGGCGGGAAGGCATCCGGGCCCGTCCTTTCGTGCTGTCAGAACATAGTATATAGCTAATTATATAGTATATAGATTTATTTAGTATCTAGTATAAAGTAAAGAGTAACATAGCATATCGTATATAATGTATAGTATATAGTTTCTGATATAGAGTATCTAGTAGAAAGTATATAGTATATACTATACTAGTCTCTTTACTGTAAGTTCTTGCGCAGGGGCTGGGAGGCTTCGGGGTGAGTGCTCAGGGTCTGGAGAGTGGGGTCGACGTCCGGTGTGGGTGTATGGGTTTTCTGCGGTTTCTCCTTGATTCCCTAAACCCTACACCCTAAACCCTAAACCCCAAAATCTTCAGATGCTCATCTGCAGCTGTACATAGCTGCAATCTCAAAGTATGGAAGGAGAACAAACGGCACGGTTTATGGGCCCGGAGCTCAAACCAGATGCTTGATTTTTTGCCGAACCCCTTTTTATCTCCATAGTTCCGTAATTATTGCAACAGTAAGCACAACCCTCAGTCGCAGCTAATTCGTTCCAGGATCCTGAAACCGGGAGGCCCAAGCAGCAGCAACAGCAAGAACCGCAATATCCGCAACAAATGCCCTATGTTCTGGCACTTCAAAAACCCTGAAGCCTGACACCCAAAAACCGTAAGAAGAAGCAGCCTCATCGCCCCTCTGTTGGGGTTTAGGGTTTAGGGTAAACCCTAAACACTCATCGCCCTGAACCCTCTGTTACAGTGCCTTCTTTTGGAGGCCTCAAGCTCCGGCTGGGGCTGGGGAGGAAGCGCTGCGCTCAAGGCGCCCTCGTTAGAAAATGAACAGAACGATTGTCTCAGAGAGAGAGAGAGAGAGAGAGAGAGAGAGAGAGAGAGCGAGCGAGAGAGAGAGAGAGAGAGAGAGGGGAGAGAGAAATCGCTTGCTTTCTTTCCGAGGCCATCACCAGCGATGGGCCTTTGCGCACTTCGGAGCAGGATTTGCAGGCCTTGGCCTCGCAGCCCATGCAGCAGGTCCTGGATTTGGGGCACATCGCCCGAGAGGTGCCGCAGAACTTGCCCACGGGCGACCTGCCCTTCGACATCGCCGGGCACCCCGCGGTGCGCCACACCGTGGCCAAGCGCCTACTGGACCGGATGCAGGCGGAGATGAAGCGCTTCGCGGAGATGCAGAAGGACGCCTAAAGAGGGCCTCAAAAGTAGGTAGGACGAAGGATCCCCGATATGAGGATTGGTTTCTTGGGACCTGAAAAGGAGGATGAAGATAGGCAGTATTCAGGATCTCAGCTCTTTGGGAATTTCGGATTCCCCGACCCTAAACTGAACCCTACAAGCCCTCTCCCCAGAAACCCTTATCTCTAAACCCTAAACTCTACCAGCCCTAAGCCCTAAACGCTAAACCCTAAGCCGCCCTATCCCTTAAACCCTAAACCCTAAACCCTAAACCCTAAACCCTAAGCCCTAAACCCTAAACCCTAAACCCTAAGCCGCCCTAAGCCCGGAACCCCTGGAGCCCCGTTTGCAAAGGACACCCCGGCTCCTCGCGTGCGGGAGCTCAGCGAGGCCGAGCTGCGGAAGCTGGGGCTCTCCTTAAGGAAGTTTAGGGGTTTAGGGGTGTAGGGGTTTAGGGGTTTAAGGGTTTAGGGGCTTAGGTTTCAGGAGCTTAGGGTTTAGGGGTTTAGGGGTTAGGGTTTCAGGAGCTTTAGGGTTTAGGGGTTTAGGGGTTAGGGTTTCAGGAGCTTTAGGGTTTAGGGGTTTAGATTTCAGGAGCTTAGGGCTTAGGGGTTTAGGTTTCAGGACCTGAGGGTTTAGGGTTCAGGAACTTTGGGTTGGGGGATTTTTGGAGGAACTTCTTAGAGGCCGCAACTCGGCACCCAGGAAGCTGGCGGCCGGGAACCAGGAGGCCGCGGATGCTGCGGAGAGGGCCCTCAGCAACATCATCAAGTGTAGCTTGGAGGGTTTAGGGGTTTGGTTTTTTTATAGTGGCTTAGAGTAGGACAAGTGTATCTTGGAGAAGAAAATATAAGGGTTTAAGGGTTTAGGGTTTAGTGTCACATTTAGGGCTGTGTATCTTGCAGGGTTTAGAAAGGGCTTAGTCTTTAGGTGTATCCTCTGAGGAAGGAGAGGAAGCAAGGTTGAAGGGTTTTGGGTTGAGGGCAGTGTATCGTAGAGTAGAGCTTACCAAGGTACTACAATAAGTGTATCTTAAAGGAGAGGAAATAAGGGTTTAGGGTTATTGGGGATGTTTGTTGCTTTTTGGTACTACAACCAGCGTATCTGAGAGTCTTAGAGTAGAGCTTAAAGGGATCTTTAGGGTACGACGAAAGCATCGAACCTTCGAGCAGAGGAAGTGAGGGTTGCGGGGTTTAGGGCTTTTGGGGTATTATTACTATAGTCAGTGTAGCTTTCAATAGAGGAAGCAAGCTCTGGACTTTGTTTTGGGGTATGATTGTAAGTCTATCTTAGAGTAGAGGAAGCAAGCTCTAGCTGATATGGGCACGAAATCAGTGTGTCCTCGTAGACGTACAGGAAGTAAGCTCTAAGCCTTTTTGGGTATTTAAATCACGGTATCTTGGCAGTAGAGTAAGTAAGCTGTAAGCACCTTTTGGTTACAAAAACCCCTACACAATCCCAGAGATGAGCCCTAGTTCCCGTCGGAAACGGGCCAAGCGAGGTATCTCAGACATGAAGGCGGCAGATGCGGCCTTTGTGGATTCGGCTTTCAAAGAGCTCCTGAAGCGGGGCAACGCCATCGAGATCTCGGAGGAAGGGGTGGCCAAAGCCTCGAACGGTGGGGCGCGGGCGGCCACGGACGCCAACATGGCGCGGCTGAAGCACTGGCTGCTGCGAGTCTCGGGGCACGAGTCGGAGGCCTGGTTGCAGCGGGCCTGCCGTTCCTTGCTGTCCTCATCGGCAACAACGGATTGGCAAAGGATCAACCCGTTCCTCACAGACAGCGAGGTGAGGGACATCCTGCAGCTGACGGCCCATGCGATGCTCCGTGCCGTGCGAGTGGTCCTGGCCAACGGCTCCTTGGCAGAGGCTCGTGACTTGCAGAAGATGCTTACAAAGGCCATCAGCACCGTTAAGGAGACCGGCAAGCTTCTCGGTTGCAGTTGCAAGCTTCACTACAACTTTGTAACCCACACACACCCCTTGAACCCTAAACCCTCAACCCTAAACCCTAAACCTCTAACCCTAAACCCTACACGCCCTCCTAAAGCCTAACGTCCCAAAAACGCCTTAAGCCGCAGAGCCCGAGGCTTCCCAACGACGTCCGCGTGGGCCTCGCCGAGAAGGGCGAGGTCCTGGCGCGCCGAATCGACGCCCGGCGCCACTACGTCTCCGAGACTGGGCTCTTGTTAAGGCAGTTTATGTAATTTACCATGATCGGGATCTATAGGAAATTTTCAATATTCTCTGAGACTGGGCTCTTGTTATAAGGCAATTTGTTTAAGTTACCATAATAGGGATCTATAGGAAATAACCTGGTTTCAATATTTATGGTAACTTAAATTAGATTCCCTTACCAAGAGCCCAGGAGACCTTGTCCTACGACCCCCACTTCTTGGTCTTTGAGCTCCTCAGCCGCCGGAAGAAGAGACACTCCCCTCCCAGTTTCACTTCTGTTGTTCGGGGGGTGTGCCCTGAGCCTAAACCCTAAACCTTAAACCCTAAACCCTAAGCCCTAAACCCGAAGCCCTAAGCCGCCCCAAGGTTCTCGGACAACAAGATGCTCCACGGCCGGCAGGTGGCGATCATCTCGGACTTCCAGCGCACCGTGGAGGGCGGTGAGAGCGGCGTGAAGCAGCCCCTGGGTGCGGAGAAGAGCAGGGTTTCGGGTTTCGGGTTTAGGCTGTAAGGTTTAGGGTTTAGCGAGAGGCTTTCGGTTTTAGGCTTTAGGCTTGAGGGTTTAGGGTTTAGACTTTAGGGTTTAAGGTTTAGGGTACTTTAGTATGTAGGTTGGAAGAATTAGTAGTCATGTCACCTTAGAGCCCCCCCAGTAAAATGATGGTACAACATACCCCCAAAACCCTATTCCAATGATTCAGGTTCCTAGAGGCCCATCAAGCAAGTTGCAGGAGACTTCAGCTCTTGGGAGAGTACTGGCGTTCCCCCTTACTTCTCTGAGTCATTATTAATGATAGTAATAATAATAATAGTAATAATAGTAATGAGAAGTGGAGTAGTAATAGTGACAATAACGATAGTAAAGACAGTTATTAGAGTCCCATCTCCTCTTGAGAACTCCGAAGAGAGCGGATCTAGGCATTTTGCCCCGTGTGGGGCTGAGAATCCGAGGATGATCATGGGAGCCGGGAAGACGACGGTCGTCAGCCCACTCTTGTCTATGCTCCTTGCCTCGATAGTGCTCTGAGAAAGGATTATGATTATGAAGAGGTGGTGGAGAAGATGGATGGAAGGAGATCGATGCTTCACCACTACCACGCAAAGAAGGGAGAGTAGTGGTGCAAGCAAGGGCAAGATCGTCGCAGCATGAGTGAACACACCAGCACAATGGTCAAGAGATCCATAGGAACAGCAGTCAGAAGGCTAGAGTCAACGAGGTAAGTTGGCAACAATAGCGACTAAACGTGACAGTGAGAGAGAAGATGCGAACATGCAGCCAGCGAAACGTCCCTGAGCACAAAGTTTTTGAACTATACACTCCGAACTTAGACTCCACTGCCCACAGCCATCCACTGCCCACAGCCATAGCAAAAGCCCTAAGCCCTGAAGCAAGCACTCCTCCATTCAAGAGCTCCCAAAACCCTAAGCCCCCGTGATCAGCCTAACTGAACGGACCTTCCAAAATTCAGGGATTTAGGGTTCAGGGTTTAGGGCCTTTAGGTGTTTTTGGGGGTTTTGGGCCCTTTACCTTGAAACCTAAAGGAGCTTAGATTTGGAGTCCTGTTATTTAGGTTTTTACGGTTTTGGGTTCAGGGTTTAGGGTTTAGGGTTCGGGGTTTAGGATTTAGGGTTTAGGGCTCCTTAAAGAAAAGGCTCTTGGCCAATGGCAAGCGCCTGGTCAGTCTGGTGGTTCCCTCGGCCTTGCTTGAGTTCTGCCGTGGCGTGCTGATGGCGGTGTTCTCCTCCATCATCCAGATGCCCGACTTAAGGTTCAGGGTTTAGGGTTTGAGCATCCAGATGCCCGGCCTGAATATAGAAGTCTGAGTGACTACACAAGTCACGAGTCCTCATCATTATCGTATTCCTTGTCCTTCTTGATTGTCACGATACTGTAAGAAGAACGTACCCCAAACCATATTCAGTTCATTAAGGCCGCCACATTACTTTATGTTTGTTGTAGGCTATATAGTTATGTTGTAATCTGGGATTTACGGCCTTACCTAATCTAGGTGTTTCCATAATTAGTATAACTCTCTGTATAGTACCGATACAGTTCCAGCTAAATCCTGAACCCTAGATGCACTAAATTCAATAGGCTTCTGTCATTGACAAAGTCAGTTGGCACCCACTGAATCACTGAATCACTCGTCCGGAGTGCAACCAACGCCCTAAACTCTAAACCCTCAACCCTAAACGAAAGATCATTGAAGAGGTGTTGTTTTAGCTCTTTGTTCTTGGATCTGGGGTCCCCGGTTCGCTGATTTGAATGTGTGGTTATACTACCGTATGCCCCAAAACCCCATCGTAATCACCAAGCCCCACTACACTACAGCCCTATCAAATCCCCAAAGCTCGAAGCCACCCCTTAACCCTAAACCCTAAACCCTAAACCCTAGACCCCTAAACCCTAAACCCTAAACCCTAAACCCTAACCTAAACCCCTAAACCCTTATACGCTAACCCTAAACCCTAAACCCCTACACCCCTAAACCCTAAAACAATAAAATCGCATCGCAGCCAAGGAAGCGAATCTGCATGTTCCACTGTGACCGCTCCGAGGATGTGGACATTGCCATCTGTGACCGGATTGAGGCGACATGAAGCTGAGGTTTAGGGTTCAAGGTTTAGAGTTTTAGGGTTTTAGGGTTTTAGGGTTTTAGGGTTTAGGGTTTAGGGTGCAGGATTGAGGCGACATGAAGCTGACACCTTAATGTAGGGGCCTAAATCATTACCAATATTATCTTGGGGGGTCCTTATCATAATTCTAGTATAATATACACCAAAAACCCGATTCTAATTATTCAGGCCCCGATAAAACAACCAAGGCCTGAAGCCTAAATCCTAAAGCCTAGATAGCTTTTTCCGGGGCGGTTTTTGCGACAAAATCCCGCGAACCTGACGAGTGAAGGTTAAACTCCTGAAATACCCTAGAACCTGTGTTGAGCAATGCTGGCCCATGACCCCTGCAGCAATCACAGGCCGTTCGCAACGAAGGCCACATCCTTCTGACCAAGCCAACAGACGTCAAGAGCCTGATCTTGCGATTCGTCGAGAGCCTCGGGCATGCAGTCATATCACAAGCAGCGTCTTTTTCTGTACACGTGTGTGTCTGTCTGTCGTCTCTGCAGGCTTTACGTAGCAAATAGTGTAGTTCAATAATATATCCTTAGACTATAGGGCAATAGATGCATAGATGCGTATGATGTCGTATGTATGCGTATTTATAGTTCGATAACTACGTGTGTGTGTATATATATATA